ATGCAAACATGCTGCGTTTTTTTTATGCAGTGCACGGCACAACGATGTGTTAAATACGCACATCAGTGCCCCACCATGGGCTGCTGTGCACCCTTGAAACTTTTTCCTACGTTAGTCAATATCAAACTTATAGCGGACCTCAGGGGCGTAGCTAGAAAATCACAGGGCCCCGTAGCAAAATTTTGTATGGGGTCCTATGAGAGCCCACCTGAGATCCCAAACAGCCCACCTGAGAGTGACCCTGCAGAGCCCGCCATAGACCCTCTACGGTGGGCTCTGCAGGGTCTCAGGTGGGCTGGTCACACCCCTACATACCTCTCACCTGGTAGCCTCCTTCACCACTAGGCCTCGCCTCCTCCTTCATGGTCGCTGGCCATCACTGTCTCAGCAGCAGCTGTGAGGAGGAATGTGCCATTGCACAGATCACCGACATGTTGTCAGTGATCTGGACAGCGGCGCGTTCCTCCTCGCAGCCGCCAGTGAGAGCCAGCAGCCTGCAATACCATAGCAACCCAGGCGGCCCGCACAGCACCAGGAGGATCCCTTTGTTCCTCGTCCTGGCCGGGTGCTCCGGGCCCCATAGCGGCAGCCGGGGTCACTATGGCGATAGTTCCGCCACTGGCGGACCTGTACCCATATCTTTAAAATAACAACAAAGACACCTTTAGAAATGTTCAGTGATGACAAGCCACAAACACATACTTCTAGATAATTGCCGGCTTTGTATTCTTTGCTTACCTTATTTCCCTTTCCCTCCCCAGTCTTCTGGCAGTGGCCATGTTTACTAAGGGCAGGTGACTAGCTCTCCTTTCACTTCCTGGATTTCTGGCACATGTGTGACTAGGACATGTGACCATGCACATCATCTCAAGGGAGGAAAATGCCTTTCCCTGAGATTACAGATAATATTTCCTAGCAATGCTCTGCTGATGACAAGGCAATCCCGGTGTGCATTGCTTTGCCAAACTGAAGTCATTTTGCCCCTTTTAGAGCAGGAAGTGAATGCTCTGCAAGTGTAAAGCTGCCCATACACCTTACAATTATCTGCAGATTTTCTGTGGTCAGCTGGAAAAGGTGCAACAGATTCCTCCATCTACACTTAACTGTGTGGATGGAGTAATCTCCACCTAGGCCAATCTGTTGCACTTTTTCCATCAGACCACAGAAAATCTGCAGATAATTGTAAGGTGTGTGGGCACCTTAAGTATTTCACAATCACAGCATTTTACACCTGACATGTCTATGTTATTATTAATCATCATACATAGAGGGATGCCTTGGTATGTAAACACTGTAAAGATGTCGTTACAACATATACAATGAGTAAATATTGCAATGGCTTAGTGTGTGGGTCAGGAGGATAACACCCCGGGGACAATTCACAATAGGAAAACATTGTTTACAATCATGCTCCCTCAGGAGAAGGTCTGCCATGGTTAGGACCTATGCCTGGGACACCTCTGATCAGTGAAAACAAGATTTATTGTGTCAGTTCGTCTATCAGCCCCCCAGATGTGGGGGGGGGGGAGACATCGGTTTCTGGTTTCCGTCTGCAGGTCTACTTACTTACTTTTTGTACTACTATCTTGTTTCTGTATTCCTATTACCGAAGGGGGATGGAGTGTGGTCACTCTAGGACAGGAAGTGCGTTACTGGCAGGATCATCAGGTGAAAAAACAGGTAAAGAAACCTGAAAACAGAAAACTAATGCAGCCATCAGGCCAAAAGGACTTGTCAGCTGCAATAGGTTACATTTTTGGTCTAGATACACTTTTATGGATAATACCGGTCCTGGATTTGAAGGGTACGACAGCCGGGGTACCAGAGCAGGGAGCGACAGAAGGGCTGCAAGAGCAGGGCGCGACAGCAGGGGTACCAGAAGCAGGGCGAGACAGCAGGGTTACCAGAAGCAGGGCGGGACCGCAGGGGTACCAGAAGCAGGGCGGGACCGCAGGGGTACCAGAGCGGAGTAGTGGAGCTTATCTGTGGCTCCTTGCACTGTTTCTCCATCTACCAGTCCCAGCTCTGCTGTACAGGGACAGCTAGAGGCTGATACCAAGTCAAATTTTAAATGATACCTCTAAGACAACGCACATGTGTTGCAGCATACCACCATGCACAGTAACGCAATACCATGCAAATACCTTGTGAATACTCACTGTACACGCTGCTCCTGTACAAGCTGAAGCCTGGGGAAATAAAAAGATGAAGGACTCTTTCAAACTGTTGTGCTTTTTTTGCATGCATATCATAATGCGCTACAACGCATGCATCGTGGATTCCTATAGTTTCAAATGATAGCGGTTTCCCTATATTTTGTCATCATGGCTTGCCTTGCGTGTTTGTGGAGACTCACACAGCTTACCAGCACACACAAGGGTGACTCTAGAGAACCCTGCAAGGGAAAGGAGCCCCCCCCCTAAAACAGGATATCAGGAGCAGTGCTCAGGGGACCTGCTGATTCTGCAGGAAACCAAAACACGAAAGGAGCAGCGTCCATTGTAAATTGTTTAATCAGCATTTGAAATAACGTAAAAACATTTGGACTTTAGTATCACTTACAGAAAAAAAAAGTATACACGTGAATTCGCAGCTCACCAGGTGTCAAAATCTCACGCAAAACAGAAAACAAACAAAAAAAAAGAGAAAAGGTCATGTGACGTTCTGATTCCAAACTCGTAATAACCCCGCAGGCTGGAAAAATCAGATGGGAGGGGGGAGGGGCGGCTGGGGGAACCGCAAACCAAAATCATTTCTAATGTAACACTTCACAACAAAACACCACAAAAGGACGCACCGCAATGTTTACAATTCCATCTCTACGACCTGGAGACTTTCTAGAACCGCAAACTCGACCACACTTCAAACGCTGTGCTAGGAATTACACGCGGCATTTTCTCTGCGATCGCGGGCTTGGCTTCGTCGTTTTCTGGGGCGGCCGGGCTGCAGAGCTGACAATCTCTACTCCACATCCAGCTGCAAGCACCCATTCACACCCGGGCGACAGTGTTTCAGCGTGATTTCATTGAAGTCTATGGAGCAAAACGAGACGATAAGCGCCACGTAAGAAGCTCAAGGACCATTTTAAACAACGGGCGTATTTTTACGCGCGACTCAGCTCATTTGCATGCACGGCCCCCCATAGGAATGCATGGGATTTTGATTTGCATGCGTTACAGCGCGGATAAAAAAACCAAAAACACGCGTCCAAAACGGCCTGGTGTGAACGGGGCCTAACACGTCATTACATGCCAAGAAAAAACACTTTTGGCTGCTTTGGAATCAGCTCAGCCAGGGAGCATGATAGACGTAATGGGGGGGGGTTGGGGGTGGGATTTATCAAAACTGGAGCAGATGGAATCTGGAGCAGTTGCCCATGGCAACCAATCAGCATCTACCTTCAGTTTGCTCAGGTAAGATTTGAAAATGAGACAGAGAAGCCGATTGGTTGCAGTGTAAATCTGCTCCAGATTTTGTCTGCTCCAGTTTTGATAAATTCTCCCAAATGAGTCAGAAAAGAGGTTTTATGGGGCAGATGGTCAGTAATGAGAACCAGGAGGTTGTTATTGATGTATATAGCGCCGACTTGTTCTGTGGCGATGTACAAAGGCTGTATTGGGGCTATAACAATGACAGTATAGGATACTTAAATACAGACAACTCAGCCAGAGAAGAGTTAACAATCTCAACAGGCAAGGGAATTTATTTTATATTTCTGTATATAGCACCAACCTGCTCGGTGGCGATGTACAAAGAATGTATCCGGGGGGAAATGGGGGAAAGGGGGGGGCAGTACTATAACAATGACAGTATGGGATACCTAAATACAAAAACTAAAATTTATTTTATATTTCCGTAAATAGCACCAACCTGCTCGGTGGCGATGTACAAAGAATGTATCCGGGGGGAAATGGGGGAAAGGGGGGGGCAGTACTATAACAATGACAGTATGGGATACCTAAATACAAAAACTAATCATTGTAACAACTCAGCCAGAGAAGAGTTTATAATCTCGAGAGAGAGAGAGAAGGGAATGTTTTATATTTCTGAATGTAGCACCAACCTGTTCTGTGGCGGTGTACAAAGGCTGACTTGGGGGCTCTAGGACAATGACAGTATGCTTAAATTTGGAAAGGAATAAACATGACAACCCAGCCCCCCCAAAAAAAGTTTAAGATCTCCAGAAGACAAGGCAATGTTCAGCAAATACGATTTCTGCATATAGCACCAACATATTCTGTGGCGCTGTAAAAAACTTTGGTGAATAAGATTTCTGAGTATAGCACCAACATGTTCTGTGGCGGTGTACAAAAGCTAGATTCGGTGCTATAACAAATGACAGCATAGCATACTTACATTCAAAACTGAAGAAGCACAACAACCCAGCCCGATAAGACTCTGCAATCTCAAGAGACCAGGGAAGTATCTGCAAATACGATTTCCGTATAGATCACCAACCTGTTCAGTGGCGATGTACAAAGACTGCATGGGCATTGGAAAAATGAAAAATAATATTATTATTAAAATAATAATAATAATAATAATAATCACAATATAGGCTAGGTAAATACGAAAAGGAATAAACATGACGACCGAGCCCGAGCAATGCTTATAATCTGAAGAGACCAGGGAAGTTTCTGCAACTAAGATTTCAGCATATAGCACCCACTTGTTCTGTGGCGGTGTACAAAGGCTATATTGGGGGCTCTAGCAATGACAGTATAGCATACGTTGATCTGAAAAGGAATAAAACACAACAACCCAGCCCGAGAAGAGTTTGCAACCTCAAGAGACCAGGGAGTTTCCAGGGAATAAGACTTCCAGGGACAATAAGATAAGATCAGAGACAATCAGCAGCAATCTTGTAGTGTGCCGCAGCTATTCTATGGCTGAGGAGTGAGAAGCAGCCCAGCACTGCATGCAGATGGAGCGCTGACAGTGCACAAATTGTTGGCAGCTGCTGCTACAAAGTTTTCCCAGTTGGGAAGTTCAGCTCTTACCTGGCTGGGAGTTCCCAGAATCCTCCAGGGCAGAGGGGGGTGCAGAAGATTAGAGGGGACCCCGGCTAGGGTGACCAGGGTGCTTCATGAAGTTGTCCTGCAGAAGACATTGTTCTGTGCTCACTGTAAAAGTGTCTCCTCCCTTCAGTCATTTCCTGTGTGCGTCTCTCCTCTCTAGGTCAGCCCCACTCAGCTGATGACATCACTCAGGTGTGTGCAGGACAGGAGCTGCAGCACTTCCCAGAAAAGGAAGGGCTGTCTGCAGAGCTGCCATCACACTGGAATGGGTGCGCTTTCACCCCCCCCACACAGATCAAGGCTGCAGCTTCTGCGTTAGGAAATTGAGCAGCTGCTAGGGGACTACAACTCTCAGCATGCGGTTCAGGGCTGCAGCTTCTGCGTTAGGAAATGTGCACAGCAACGGAGGGAGATTGAGCAGCTGCTAGGGGACTACACCTCTCAGCATGCGGTTCAGGGCTGCAGCTTCTGCGTTAGAAAATGTGCACAGCAACGGAGGAAGATTGAACAGCTGCTGGGGAACTACAACTCCCATCATGCGGTTCAGGGCTGCAGCTTCTGCGTTAGGAAATGTGCACAGCAACGGAGGAAGATTGAACAGCTGCTGGGGGACTACAGTTCCCATCATGCGGTTCAGGGCTGCAGCTTCTGCGTTAGGAAATGTGCACAGCAACGGAGGGAGATTGAGCAGCTGCTAGGGGACTACACCTCTCAGCATGCGGTTCAGGGCTGCAGCTTCTGCGTTAGAAAATGTGCACAGCAACGGAGGAAGATTGAACAGCTGCTGGGTGGAGGGAGATTGAGCAGCTGCTGGGGGACTACAACTCCAAGCATGCATGGAACTACTCTGAAGGCTTTTTCTAAGTTACTGAAAACACAGCAAAATTGTTGTTTGTTGCCGGCAACGAGGAGCTAGAAGTGCATTAGAAAATGTCCATGCGTTTTTTTTTTAAAGTCCCCGTTCACACAGGTTTGAAGCGCTTTGGCCATTATGTAACAGCGCAATTATTTCCTATGGGGCCCATTTACACCGGTGCGTCACTTCTGTGCATCTTAGAAAATTGTGGCGCACCTTTTGGTGCAGCTTTAGCCCCATGCACCGCATGGAAAAGGCAACATGTAACATGCATTTGTGTGTGTTTTAGGGCACAGCACGTCAACAAGCCCCACCCCCTAGCAACTTTTTATTTTATTGGTCTATGTAATAACTCATAACCCTTCAAAATGAATGAAAAGCGCACACAAAATGCACAAAATCTGATCGGCAGGTGTATGGAAGGCGTGCGACCGTTTCTACTGTACGATCGCACGTCTTTTGTCTTCCGAGCACGCTTGAAAACCTGGCGAAAATTGTGCGATATTCGGCAGGTTGGTGGCGTGCTCGGAAGACGAATGACGAACAGGCCGGTGTGCGTAAGCGCACACTGCCCGCTCAGCATTGGAATCATCGGAAGCCCGCCCCTCAGCAGGCGGGGCTTGTGATGATCGCAAGCACGATCTGCTTGTCCAAGATGGGCAGATCGTCCGAAATTTGTATCACCTTACAACCATGTAAGGTGTATGGCCAGCTTTACTATGACCGGGGCAGACAGAATCTGGAGCAGCTGTGCATGACAACTAATCAGCTTCTAGCTTTCATTCTCAAAGCTTACAAGAACACGTTTAAGTAAGAAGCTGATTGGCTGCCATGTACAGCTGCCTCCCAATTCCGTCTGCTCCAGTCTAAAGTAAATTCCCCCCTATGTGTCTTTAGCATGTTTTAATGCATTGCTTAAAAATGCAATACAACGCAAGCAATATGCGTATACATGCATTTTCTTCTGTCATCATTTCCTGTCTTCATTTTGTGGTTTGTGTTTCTGTGATATATGGACTTTAAAAATACATATTAAGTTTTTTTTAATCCATTGTGGTTGGCAGCCCATTGGTAACGAACGGGCTGCCGTAACGCAATGCATGTTAATGCATGTCATGATGTCCATTGATTGACACACTGCAATGAATCACTAAGTTATGAATGGGTCCTTAATGACGTACGATGGGTGAGGGCCCGTTCATACTTGCGCATTACAGCAACAAGCGTTGTTCCAGTGTTAATCATTGTGAATGGCACCTCAGCGCATTATACAGTAGAGCCTAATGCACATCGCAATGCAGCGCAGCGCAGCACATATACTGTGCATTGTAATGTGCTGCTTTGTTGGTATAAAAAGAGTCATGTACAATTGTGGTGCGTTGGCAGCTTATTCATGATGAATCGACTGTCTTAATGCAACACACGTTAACACATGTCATGATGCACATTAACACGAGAGCTACAATGGACCGCAGCAGAAGGTTCAAGTGTGATTGGGCCTGAAAAAGGGCCCTGAAGACTCCCTATTGTTTCCTGTTAATCCCTTTTATTTTCCGTTATTCCCTTTTATTTCCTGTTGTTTCCTAATGTTTCCTGTTGTCTCCGGTTGTCTTCTGATGTTTCTGGTTGTCTTCTGTTGTTTCCGGTTGTCTTCTGATGTTTCCGGTTGTCTTCTGATGTTTCCGTTTGTCTTCTGATGTTTCCGGTTGTCTTCTGTTGTTTCCGGTGGTCTTCTGTTGTTTCCGGTTGTCTTCTGTTGTTTCCGGTTGTCTCTTGATGTTTCCTTTTGTCTCCGGTTGTCTCTTGATGTTTCCTTTTGTCTCCGGTTGTCTCTTGATGTTTCCTGTTGTCTCTTGATGTCTCCGGTTGTCTCCTGTTGTTTCCGGTTGTCTCTTGATGTTTCCTGTTGTCTCTTGATGTTTCCTGTTGTCTCTTGATGTTTCCTGTTGTCTCTTGTTGTTTCCTGTTGTCTCTTGTTGTTTCCTGTTGTCTCTTGTTGTTTCCTGTTGTCTCTTGATGTCTCCGGTTGTCTCTTGATGTTTCCGGTTGTCTTCTGTTGTTTCCGGTTGTCTCTTGATGTTTCCTGTTGTCTCTTGATGTTTCCTGTTGTCTCTTGTTGTTTCCTGTTGTCTCTTGTTGTTTCCTGTTGTCTCTTGTTGTTTCCTGTTGTCTCTTGATGTCTCCGGTTGTCTCTTGATGTTTCCGGTTGTCTTCTGTTGTTTCCGGTTGTCTCTTGATGTTTCCTTTTGTCTCCGGTTGTCTCTTGATGTTTCCTGTTGTCTCTTGATGTCTCCGGTTGTCTCCTGTTGTTTCCGGTTGTCTCTTGATGTTTCCTGTTGTCTCTTGTTGTTTCCTGTTGTCTCCTGATGTTTCCGGTTGTCTCTTGATGTTTCCTGTTGTCTCTTGATGTTTCCGGTTGTCTCTTGATGTTTCCTGATGTTTCTGGATGTTTACTGTTGTCTCCTAATCTTTCCTTTTGTCTCCTGCTGTTTCCTGTTGTCTTCTGTTGTTTCATATTATTTCCTGTTAATTCCTGTTTACTGTTTTTTTATTTTTATTTCCTGTTTTTCTTTTCTGTTATTTCCTTATTTGTTTTTATTTGCCATTGTTTCTCTTTTATTTCCTGATGTTTTCTGTTATTTCCTTTTTATATTCTGTTGTTTCCTGATGCAAGAATAGAACCAAAAATCTTTTGACATTATTTATAAAAGTCAGTAAAGTAACTTTACTGACAAACCACCTAACAGATCCAGGTGGCTGGTTGGCTGTGGGCAGTCATGTGACTGTGTCTGGGAGTGTGGTGGAGGAGGACAGAGAGTGGGAGGAAGACAATTAACTCTTTTACTGCCGGGGGTGGAGGGTGACATTCCATGGCTTCCAGCCACTGTCCCAAAGACTGCAAATATGGGCAGCATGAACAGCGGCTGGCCGTACTGATACTTATTAGCGTGCTGGGAGATCACTGTACTGCACATTGACATCAATTTCACTTTTTAACTTCATGCTGCTCTTGCTGAGTAACCAGCATTGGCAATTATTGTATTTTAGGTTCTTTTCATACAAATTGTACAAAGTGTATCTAAAGCCAATTTCTTTCGGATAGAGCTGCGAAGGGATAGAACCCCTGTTGGGTTTTTTATCACAGGCTGTGTCCCCATTAGGGAGATTCACTCTCTCTATTGGTGCTGCTGACCAATTTGACCGGGACTGAAATCCTAAATGTTTAGCCACCACCAGAACAGGAATAGGGGACATTTGGGGACACCCGTTCCAGTAATAACTATCCAAAAGTACATTTCCCTCACTATGGGGAGATTTCTTCTAATTTCCTGTTGTGTCTACTATGGCGGTCACTATGGCAACCTGGCTCACAATAGAATACTGCAAAGAGCAGCATAATGCAGTATAGAGGAACATCCGCCACCACTGCTGGAAGAAGAAGATGAGGACCCGGTATGTCACATGATTTGATTTTAGGAATATTATATATAAAATGGGTGCAGGAGATGGGGGATGGAGATGCGCTTTTTGAACACATGCATTCCAATCCAAAAAGCAAAGTTGGACAAGATAAAGCCGTGATTGACTTGCTTTGGCTGCAGTTCAAATGCTCCTCAATGGGAGTGGCTGCATCCCCAAATTCAACCAAAAGCAGCCTCCGAACAGTCATCTGCACTCCTCCATTGAAGTCAATGACGATCTGATGACCTGCATTTCAAATGCACATGAAATGCAGGAAAACAACGCCCGCCTGCCTCAGCCCCTACAATTGCGGTTTACCTTAATTCCAGAATCCTTTTATCCAAGATCTCTTCCAGTCCGTCATGAAGTGGCCCTCAGGCTCTCCGTCTCCCAACACCCTCCAGCAATGGAATTCCTCCAACATTCCAAAGTGTAGAGCTTGTTACGTGTCTCCTAATCAGTAATGTCACATCACCTACTGTGCTGGGCAGGCTGCAGTATGGCTCCAGTCCATGGGGCACTGTGCAGATAAAAGAAACCCAATGATAAGACTCTGCTAATATGGGCACAATGGGGCCCATGTATGACTGTCCTCCTCTACACTCATCTTGTGTAATGGCTCCGATACAGGAACCATTTTATTTTCCTGGTACTGAGCCGGCAATCACCTCGCTAAGCTGGAGTTACGCAGATCATACTACCAAAATTTATAGGAGTGCCAACAAATGGCTCCCTACAGAGTAAACTATACAGATAGCATGCCAAAGAATCTTGTGGTCATCAAACACAAATCATAAGATCATTGTGTTCATGGGAGATACGTCTCTGCTACATGATACTGGTGTAGTTTACTTCATAGGGAGCTAT